TTTTTATAGGTATACTTAATTGTACTGCCTTTGTGCTTCTTACTTTTCTTATTCCTGCTTATGATCTTTCCATTCCACAAAGATACATCTTTAGCCCTTCTTACTGGGCTAGTTTAGTGGTGATGAATTCCTGTAACTTTTGTTTGTCTGGGAAAGTCTTTATCTCTCCTTCTTTTCTGAATGATAGCCTTGCTGGATAGAGTATTCTTGGGTGCAGATTTTTTTTCTTTCAGCATTTTTAGTGTATCATGCCCCTCCCTCTCACCTGCAAAGTTTCTGCTGAAAAATCATCTGATAGCCTTATGAGGTTTCCCTTGTATATAACTGTTTTCTTTTGTTGCTTTAAAAATTATTTTTCACTATTTTTTGCCATTTTAATTACTGTGTATCTTTGTGTAGACCTCTGGGGTTGATTTTCTTGGGGGCTCTCTGTGCCTCCTGGATCTGGATTTCTGCTGCTTTCCCCAGATTCGGGAAGTTTTCAGTTATTATTTCTTCAAACAAACTTTCTACCTCCTCTCCCTCTTCTTCTGGGATCCCTATGATGCAAATGTTATTACGCTTGATGGTGTCGCTGAGTTCCTTTAGTCTATTTTCATTTTTTATTATTTTTTTCTCTCTCCTATTCAGCTTGATTTCTTTCTATTACTCTGTCCTCCAGGGTACTGATCCATTCTTCTGCTTTCTCTAGTCTGTTATTTATTCCATTTAATATATTTTTAATTTTAGTTAATTTTAGTTATTGAGTCCTTAATTTCTGATTGGTTCTTTTTTCTGTTTTCCATGTCTTTGTTGAGGGTCTCCCTGAGGTCCTTCACTCTTTTCTCAAGTCCAGTGAGTATCTTTTTGACCATTACTTTAAATTCTCTATCAAGCATATTACTTATCTCCATTTTGTTTAGCTCTCTTTCTATGATTTTGTCTTGTTCTTTCGTTTGAGGCCTAGTCCTCTGTCTCCTCATTTTGTCTAACTCTCTGTGTCTGTGTCTTTGTGTTAGGAAGGTCGGTGATGTCTCCTGCTATTGGAAGTAGTGACCTCATGAAGATGACCTGTAGTGCCCTGCAGTCCAATGTCCCCTGTTCACCAGAACGTGGTGATTCAGGGTTGTCTCCTATGTGTGTTGCATGTGCTCTGCTATTGTGGATGAGCCACTTTTGCTTCAGTCCACTCATTTGCAATGGCTCTCTTATCTTGTTGTGAGCAGGCTTTTGTTCCTTTGATGTTAGTGGGTCAGTCTGGGGCCACCTTGGACTTGAGCTGAGTCAGACCAGGTATTTGCCAGAGATGCAATAGAATCAAATGGCAGGGCATATTCCATGTGTTGTTTCCTGAGAAGCTTTTGTGGGCCACTGCTGGGGCACAGTTGGGCTGGTGTGTGTGGTTATCTTCCCCTCTCCCCAGCTCAGGAGTCACTTTGGGGTGGTGCTGACCCCTATTGGGGCTGCTTGCACACTGCCAGGCTTACTGTACCACTTTGAATGGGCTCCCACCAAGGGCGTATTTGAGGGGACAGGTCAGCAGGAGAAAGCAAGTCAGGAATCGTGGTTTTAGCAAGGTTTGTGCGGGTCTGGTGTGGGAGGGAATCTGCAACTGCCTAGGAAAACTGCCCAGGCTTGGATGGAGGGGCATGTCCACAGAAGAACGTGGGGACAGGGAAAGCTATTAGCCAGCTAGGTGCAGAGCATTTGTGCTGCACTGGTTCCTGCAGGTGTCCATGTGTTTAGGCTAAGTGGCAGAGGAGGCAAATGGCATGCAATAGCTCTTTTGTTCTTGGAGAAGTCTCCCAAAGTTTCTTGCCCATCCAGCACATGCTCTGAGATTAGTAAATAAATCTCCTTCCCGTATACTCCAGGTATTTTTCAAACTGCTGCTTCTGTGCTGTATCTCAGCAGGGCTGTTTGTTGTGTTGTCTCCTTAAGGGCAGTTTCCTGTCACCCTCTTGGCTCTCCCAGAGCAGTGCCTGCTGATTTTTTTAAAGTTCCAGGTCTTAAGCCCCACTGATTGTTAGGCGTCTCTGGTTTTCAAAGCCAAATATCATGGGGATTCATCTTCCTCATCCATGTCCCTGGGGTGCCTAGTGTGAGGCAACCTGTCTCTGCAACCATAGTGTCCCTCCCTCCTGCAGACAGTCCACGGGTCTGTTTGGCTCCTGACCAACTCTGCCCTTCCTACCCTCTTTGCTGTGGCCTCTTCTCTACCTTCAGCTGTGAAGAATGTGTTCTGCCAGTCTTTGGGTTGTTTTCTGGCTTATTTACACTGATGTGGGTGTTACTTAATTGTATCCATGGAATGAGGTGAGCTTAGGATCCTACTCTACCATCTTCCCTGGAAGCGTACAAATGGGTTTTTAATGAAACATAGCAGACCCTGGAACCCCACACCTTCCATTGCTGAGTGCTGCCCCCACCCCCACAAACTACCAACAGCTTTCAACACATATTTCTTCTGGAACTTACCACTATATTTCTAAGTTTTTTTTTTAATATTAATATTTCTGGGTTGTTCAGTTTTAGATATTACATATAGGCTTCTGAATATAAAGATTTAGACTTATACTATTTCCATCCATCTTTCTCTTCCCCTCTTCCTAATATAGTTTGGTTACATTAATACTTACTATGACTTAGTAATTATTTGTCACAAAAGAACTGTGAATGATTCTTTTTCTTTCCTTGTATAAATGGCCCAATTTTTCATTCCCTTGCTTTTTGTTTTTTAATATATCTACTATCTACCCCTAAACTTTGTGACAAAGCTGTAAAACAACTCCCAGGTAGTCCATCAATTGCATTTTACTCCCTTGGAGACCTCTTTCCTCTGGCATTCCATCCTCCTTCAGTTCCAAGCTGGCAGTTCTCTGGTAGGTGTCCTGGGATGATGCTTTGCCTGTTTCTTGAATTGGAGCTCCTGCTTGATCCCTTGCTTTTCTTTTGCTTGGTTTGCTCCTTCATTTCATTGGAGCACTTCTTCTAGGAGGTTTCTAGTACATGAGAGCTAAATCTTTTATTACTTTATATGCCTACAAATGTATTTATTCCACTGTCTTATGTTCACAATTTAGTTAAATTTTAGTTTGCAAATTTCTTTCAGAATTGTAAAGATCCTATTACCTTGTAGTTTCTAGTGTTGCTCTTGAGCAGTCTGATTTCACTATGTACAATTTTTCATATGCGATGAATTTTCCTTCTAAAACTTAAAATTTCCTCTTTATTCCCAGGGATCTGAAATTTCTTTTAAAGATTTTATTTATTTATTTGACAGAGAGCATAAGCAGGGGGAGCCGCAGGCAGAAGGAGAGGGAGAAGCAGGCTTCCTGCAGAGCAGGGAGCCCGATGCGGGGCTCAATCCCAGGACCCTGGGATCATGACCTGAGCCGAAGGCAGACACTTAACCAACTGAGCCTCTGAAATTTTTTGATGTTTTTTGATGTAGTTTTTTTCCTTCCTCGCTCATCATATAGGGCATTTGCTAGGCTGTTTAAATCTCAAATTCTAATCCTTTAGTTCTGAAAACTTTTATGTTATTTCTTTTATCATTTCCCCCCTCCATTTTCACTATTCTCTCTTTTAAATATCTACATATTTGGATGCAGAATCTACCGAGCTGCTCCTCTAATTTTGAAATATCTATTTTCTCCTATTATCCATCTCTTTGTTTTTTGTTCTATATTCTGGAAGATTTCCAGCAAAGTATGTTTCTATTTCCTACTTTTCTCCCTGTTTATTTGTTTTGGTTGTTATCTTTCATGATATTGACTTTACACAAATGTGTAGTGATCTTTATCCATTGATGGACATATGAAGAATGCAAATCAATCATTAAAAATATTGGAAATATTTGAATACAGACTAGATTTGTTGACAGTTTTGTTTCTTTATTGGGTTATTCAGTGATGACCTAGCCATGTCATTAGTCAGGCTTAACTATTTCTCCTGAAATCAATCCTCCAGTCTTGTGCCTGGAGAGAGAGATACTAGTTGCTTAAACTCTGGGAGTTGGACAGTGGGAAAGAATAAGGAGTCCTATCTATCCAATAAGATTTACATGATTTATTCTCTGCTTCCAGTCCCTCACCATACTCTTATCCTGCTTTGTACCTAACATCCTTCAGTTCTGAGTCTCTCTGATTCAGTTTCTCCAGGAGGTAAGTATCTTCCATCCTGCCTTGGTAGTGATGATCATCTGCTTGTACAGGGTGAAGATATAAGTATTTGATGTCTGTGCTATACCTCCTACATTTCAGAAGCATTTGACATCTCCAATTCCTGAACTGTTTCTCTGAAGTGTAAATCTGCATGCTTTTTATTAGTGTCCCCTCAGTCATTAGGTTTCAAATTCCTGGCTAAGACAGTTACCTCTTGACATCTTTCATCTTGAAAAAAAAAAAATCTAAAGATTTATTTTTTTATTTCAGAGAGAGAGAGGATGTGCAAACAGAGGGAGGGGCAGAGGGAGAGGGAGAGAAGCAGACTCCCTGATGAGCATGGAGCCCAGTGCAGGACTCCACACAGGGCTAGATGCAGGGGTCATCGCTGGGCTCAATCTTAGGACCTGAGCCAAAATCACAAGCCAGATGCTTAATTGACTGAGCCATCCAGGCACCCCTCATCTTTTTTTTAAGATTGTATTTATTTATTTGGAATAGAGAGAGCACAAGCCAGGGCACAGAGGGAGAGGAAGAAGCAGGCTCCCCACTGAGCAGGGAGCCAGATGTGGGGCTTGATCCCAGGACCCTGGGATCATGACCTGAGCCGAAGGCCAGATGCCCAACCAACTGAGCCACCCAGATGCCCCTAGGCACCCCTCATCTTGAAAATTTTTCTTACCATTTAAAAAAAATTTTTTTTTTCTTACCATTTTTCTTTTCCTCTCCTTGAGGTTTTATACTTTATTTTTATTCTTCTATTACCATTTTATTGACATTTTGGAAAGAGTTTACATAAAGCTATATATTCATTCTTCCAAGTCAACCAGAATCCTTTCATGTTTTTCTTTACAGTGAGAAATAACAGCCCTGAGTTTCCTAAAGATCAAGATAAACTTATCAGGTAAGTTTTTCTTTATACAATCCCATGTCAATTTCTTTCTTTTTCTCTCTCTTGCTCTCTTTCATCTCTACACCCAACATGGGTCTCAAATTTACAAGCCAGATCAAGAGTTGCATGCTCTACCAACTGAGCCAGCCAGGAGCCCCTCAATTTATTTATTAAAAGGACTATTGATTTAAACTGTTTACATTTTTTTAATCATAATTGAATTTTCACTTTTTTAACTTAGAAAAGGAAGTAGATCTCTTTTCCTCTTACAATGCTTTTTTTAAAAAGTTTTTTTTAAAGATTTTACTTATTTATTTGACAGAGAGAGACAGTGAGAGAGGGAACACAAGCAAGGGGAGTGGGAGAGGGAGAAGCAGGCTTCCCGCTGAGCAGGGAGCCTGATGCAGGGCTCGATCCCAGGACCCTGGGATCATGATCTGAGCTGAAGGCAGATGCTTAATGACTGAGTCACTCAGGCGCCCCCTCTTACAATGCTTTTTTAAAAATGTTGTTTTCAGGAAGAATGTGGGAAGTTAATTGAATTCTTTTTAGACTGTTGAGTTAAAATTGAATGTGATTATCTGAACTTGCCTATTCTTTTAATTTTTATTTTTTATTGTTGAAAAGGAAAAAAACATGTTGTCAACATAATGGGTACGAACCATTATAGATCACAAAAAGCCAAGCAGTTTAGGAAAAGATAAAGTTCTAGAGGAAAATGGTGAGTTAGGGATGAACCCATTGTATCTTTTAGGAGACAACATGAAAATGTGTCATCAATTTAGCCATGAACACCTGAACAAGATATAGATCAATATTCTCATTATGGTTCTGCAGCATTTAGTTTCTTGAGCATTTCCATCAGCCTTAATTTGATAGTCAGATGTAGAAAACAGCCAGTTAACTAGTGTTGAAATAACTTGCTTCAGCTTAGGTCTCCTTGACTGGCCCTGTATAAAAGATGAACAAATTAGGTAACTCAAGTGGCTTTGATTTGTGAAAGTATTGGAAAATTTCAGAAAGGCAAGCCTAATTTAGTGGGTAGTACACCAGGCTGGCATTCAGTAAAGGATATTGCTGTCCCTTAAACTTGTCAATGTGGAGAGAAGCAACTGACCTTCTTGGCACAGAATAGACCTGTGGTAAATAGTTGTTGAATGCATAAACACTGTTTTATCACCTACAACACATGAATGTCCCTGGAATATTACAAAGTTCTTTCTACTTGTGGTATAGTTATTTGCAGTGCATAAAGGTACAGTGCCAGCAGTTACTGATAAGGCAGGAAGAGGAGGCCATAAGAAGTTCTGTGGTCCCAGCTTTGGCAGGCACCTGAATGAAATCAAGAATAAATGATGCCAGAATCAGGTCTTATTTGTGGTGTTCACCTAGTGCTAGCTTGAAATCTCTAGAGAAATCTCTAGGATTCAATCAAAGCAATACAATCTAGATTTCAAAGATACTCTACATTCCTAGTATAATAGAAGATTGCAATTTATTATGTATCTGTGAATCCAAATATTTAGTCCTGGTACATTTGTTATGGGATAAAGCTCAGTTAAGTCTAGCTTTTAGTTTTTATGTACAATTTTACAATGAGGTCCTGCAGAAATTATTCCAAGAGAGATGCTGCTCTTAGCCTTGTCAGTCTAACACCATTTGCTAGAACTTTACACTACTTCATGAGCTGAAAGAATTAACCTGATTATAGAAATGGATTCCAGAGGCCTAGCCAGACAGTTAAACCCTGTTTCCAAAAGATATAACAAAACATAAGCAAAGTCTAGTCAACTGAGTAGAATATAGTCAGGGGAATCCAGTTGATGTCCAGTAATTGAAAGTGATTTAAGCTTGTGCTTGTCATCTGGGATGTTTGCACATGGGCTGCAGGATACCACTTAACAAGATATAGAGCAGCCTCTGGGAGAATAGTTACTTACTCATTTATTTAAAATGTATTCACTGAGCATTTGCTCTCTGCCAGGCACCGTGCTCCCATCCTGGGGACACACATCTGAATAATATGTGATCTTTGATCTCACGTGATTTATAATCTAGGATTGGAAGCTCTCCTCTGAAGAGGAGTTTGTGCAGGGAGTATGCCTGACTTTCAGTCCTACAGGACCATCTAGGAGCAACTTCTACCAGAAGATGTAGTTGGAAGACCACAGAGCAAATACCAGGATCATGGCCAGGGGGAATGCTAAGGTCAAATGCAAGCATATTTAAAATGAGTCATATTGAGTAAAAAATTCTTCCCCTGTAGCTTTTCTTCCCCCCACCCCCCGTAGAGGCTTTCACTTTTTCACTAAGTCATCTATCACTGGTACTACCTCTGTCAAATGCAATCCAGCATTTCTTTGGGCCATACCTATTAATTGTTTTATTACATGAATACTTATAATAAGTGGTATTATACAGATAAGATCTAGATGCTGGAGGAGCTTGGAGAGAGAAATATCTTCCTAAAGCTTGAAGTCCTGGAGTGGGGGAAGGGACATATAAAGGCCAGCTTCCAGGAGAAGGTGATGCCTGAGGTGATTTCTAAAGGTAGAATAGGAATTCACCTGCAGACAAGAGAAGAAGGACATTCAGGCAGAGAGAATAACTCAAAAGCATGGAGATATGAGAGAGCATATTTCCCACAGCCTGACCTAATGGAAAGTAAGTTGACATCCAGAATAAAAAGTGAATCTAGATGCCAGAGGCAACCAAAGGGGTTGCCTATCTCAGGAGCTGAGGTACAAAACCAAAGGGGGGAGGGGAGAAGGGGATTGGTTGCCAGATATCAAGAGAATAGAAGTGTCTTTTGGACATGGTTCTGCAGACGTTTACTTACTAACATTAAACGGAGGTGAAGGATGGGTTATGAAATATTACATATGTTATCTGAGCTCGATGTCCTGGATCACTTGCACAGCTTCTCCATCAGCACTTGCTGCTTCCCCTTGCACTTTGATGTCATGGAGACGGCTTCTTTCCTTAAACCTCATGAGCCAGCCTCTGCTAGCTCCAGACTTTCCTCCTGCAGCTTCCTCACCTCTCTCAGCCTTCATAGAATGAAGAGAGCTTGGGCCCTCCTCTGGATTCGGCTTTGTCTTAAGGGAATGTTGTGGCTGATTTGATCTTCTCTCCAGACACTCAGACTATCTTCATATCCGCAATAAGGCTGTTTTGCTTTCTGTCATTCGTGTGTTCACTGGAGTAGCACTTTTAATTTCTTCTGAGAGCTTTTCCTTTGCCTTCACGACTTGGCTAACTGGTTCATGAGGCCTCATTTTCGGCCTATCTCTGCTTTTCATAAGGCTTCCTTATTAAGCTTAATCATGTCTAGCTTCTGATTTAAAATGAGAGATGTGCTATTCTTCCTCTCACTTGAACACTTGGAGACCATTGTAGGGTTATTAATTGTCCTAATTTCAAGATTGTTGTGTCACAGAATAGGGAGGATGGAGGAGGGGGAGAAAGGGGAATAACTGGTGGGTGGAGTATTCAGAACCCATCTGTGAAGTACGTTTGCCATACTATATAGTATATAGGCATTGTTCATGGCACCCCAAAATAATTACAATGGTAACACCGAAGAGCACTGATCACAGATCATCATAATTAATATCATAATGAAAAAGCTTAAAATATTTGTGAAAATTACCAACATGTGACACAGAGACATGAAGTAAGCCAAAGCTATTGGAAACCTGGTACCCATAGATTGGCTTGACACAGGGTTAACACAAACCTGCAGTTTGTAAAAACGCAATGTCTGCAAAGCACAACAAAACAAGGTATGCATGTATTTCAAAATAAAAGAAGTTTTTGAAGAAAAGTATTCAAACTTTTTCACTGAATAGAGACAATGGGTATACTTCCAAACTTCCAAACTCTGATGTGAAAATCTGGTAAGATTATTACAAGAAAGAAAAATTATAGGCCAATATCTCTCATAAACACAGAAGCATAAAGCCTAATCAAAATATTAGCAAATTGAATCTACTGATACATAAAGAGGGATAATACATCATGACTAAGAGGGCTTTATTTCAGGAAAGCCAGGTTGGGGCACACTTCTATTCAGCATTGTTTGGGAAGTCCTAGTCAGTGCAGTGAAGCCAGGAAAAAAAGTTATAAAGTTTGGGAAGGATGAAGTAAACCATCTTTATTCACAGATAACAGGATTTTATAATATTAAAATCCAAATGAATATATAAACTTGAAAATTAGTAAGTGAATTTAGCAAGGTCCCTGGATATAAGATGAACATTTTAAAAAGCAACTATATTTTTATACAGTAGCAATCAATACACAGAAATGGAAATGTTAGAAATACCATTACAGGGGCGCCTGGGTGGCTCAGTGGGGTAAGTGTCTACCTTTGGCCCAGGTCATGATCCCAGGGTCCTCGGAATAAGCCCCATGATGGAGTCCCTGCTCAGCAGGGAGTCTACTTCTTCCTCTCCCTCTGCTCCTCCCCCCACTTGTGCTCCCTCTCTCTCTCTCAAATAAATAAAAATCTTAAGGAAAAAAAAATACCATTGCAATAGCATCAAAATGTAACAAGAGAGGAATAAGACATCTACGCTGAAGACCACAAGATATATCTGGAAAAAATTTCAAAAGACCTAAAGAAATAGATATACAATGTTTGTGACTTGAGAGAGACTCAATATTATTGCAATGTCAGTTCTTCCCAAATTAATCTATAGATTCAACTCAATCTTAGTCAAAATCTCAACATTTTTTTTCCTGGAAATTAACAAGGTGGTTTTAAAATATATTTACAGGGGTACCTGGGTGGCTCAGTCAATTAAGTATCCGACTCTTGATTTCACCTCAGGTCAGGATCTCAGGGTTGTGAGATAGAGCCCTGTGTCAAACTCCAAGCTGGGCATGGAGCCTGCTTAAGATTCGCTCTCTCCCTCTCCCTGTTTCCTTCCCCTGCTCTCTCTCCTTTTGCCCCTCCCCCTCCCTTTCTCTCCCTCTAAAAAAATAAATACATAAGTAAAAAAAAATATATCTACAAATGCAAAGGATTTAGGATAAGATAATCTTGAACAAAGAGGATTGACATTCTCAGATATCAAGGTGTACTGGAAAGTTAGAATAAATTTCACTCTGATTAGATCTTTCTAGGTTCGTGTTCCTGTCCCTGAATAGTTACCATTGCCAGACAGCCTTAAACCCATCAGGCTCTGACTTAGAGTCAGGGTGGAGGTCAGTCCCATCAGATTGAATGTCATGTACATAAGGGGGAAGAGTGGAATAGTTATTGGAGAGGCAACCACAATGTCCACTGTGACAGCCTTCATATACATACTATTTTTACTGGACTGAAACCTTGGTAAGTAAAAGTTTGACAAGCACAGGAGACACAAAAGTCTCCAGACAGACCTGCTTGCACACACACAGAAATGTAATATTGTGGTGTACTCCACATCATCGAGAAGTTCCGTATGATGGAGCCTCTGCATGTGCAGATGAATGGGGGAAGAAATGGTTGGAAATAGCCAGATGCTAATGAACCCCAAGTTATGTTTGAAAGTGTTTAGACTCCATCCTATAGAATTACATAACCAAAAGTGGTTTTTAAGCAGAGGCATGATGTCCTGGAATAGAGAGAGAGAAACTGAGGTAGAGTTTGCGGAAGAGATATGATGAGGTACTTGCCCAAGGCTGACACTGAGTACTAAGGGATGCTAAACTCCTGCCTGGCTCTTCCTGTGGATAATTTCATTAGAATGCTCACCACAACTGCTGGACAAATTTCTATCTCTTAATTTTATAGATGAGGAAACAGGAGTGAAATAATTATCTGCTCAGAGTCACACAGCTAAAAAGTAGTGGTACCTGAGTGTTTTAACACAGGCCAGATGATTCCAGAGCCTGTACTCTTAATCATGATATTACATGACTAAATATCCAGAGATTTGTAGGGGTTGGGTTATACTAATTACTACTAATAGTAATTAGTAGGCTTGGGTTATGGCTGGGATGTTGCTTCCATGAACTAGCACTACCCCAACTCTCTTCTTCCCTTAATGATCCTTTTTGTTTCCTTCACTGGCTCCCCTTACTCTGAATTGGTTTCCGATCTTTCTTTTCTAAACACTTACTTACCCTTTCTGTGTTTGTTTTCCCTAATGGCATCATCTATCAACCTTTATGTTGATTTGACCCAAATCTCTTATTTCCAGTCTCAATTTCTCAATCACACTCTTAAAGGTCATCACCTAAAACCCATGTTTAAATTTAAACTCATATTTTACTTCAGAGTCTCTAGATGCTTTCTGCTAATAGCAAAACTAAATGGTCTTCCGGGCTTTAGAAGAATATCTGACCCTCAGATTCCTTCACCTTTCACACCCTATCAGAAAACCAGTCCAGTCATTTCATTAGCATGTCAGAGATTCATCTCCTCACCTCCATAGTCTCTGCTCCCACCCTCTGTTAGCTCTGCATTTCTTGCCTGAATTACTACATCTGTTTCCTAACTTGTCTCCCTGCATTTAATCTCTCATATACTCCACCCTGCATACTAACGCCAGAAAAAACTCTTACTCAGACACACGGTTCATAATTTACTTGCCTTATTCAAGAACTTCTGCTTGCTCTCTATCACCTAATAAATCAGATTCCTGAATCAACTCTAACCCATTCTCTGCCTAAATCTGAAGATCTGCATTGCCCAGTTTCAGTTATTTTATCAAATTCCAATTCCTCTGAAATTGGAACTCTCCACCCTAGTCAGTTATCTCGTTTCTATTGTCTCTTCCCCCAACATGCTCTGTTGCGCACGCACCATGCTCCTTCCCATCTGAGCTATTGCTAATACTGTTCTCCTCACTTAAAATGCTTCCTCCATCTGTTCCAGGTCCATATCCCAAGTGACTCCTTCCCTAAAGACTCCCAAGATAAAGTTACATCTCTCTCTTCCAACTTTTTTAGCTTACTGCCACTGCCAAAGTAGTATCTGTCGTTGTCATCTCCAAATGTCTGTGTTAAATGATGTAACACTTTATATGTTAAGGTATGAAGCTATTCTATTTGCTAATTTGGGTATATATCTTATTTTCCCAATGGGATAATAAGCTCTGATGTTCAGTTTTAAATTATCTTCTACTTTTCCTTATTCATAATGCTAATGGTAATATTCAGTAAATTCCTGTTAATGTTTCAAATTATAAACACATGTATTTTTTATACTTCCCTGTAAACTTAGTAGCTTATCTGAATAATCATAAAAATTGTTACTGTTCTCTTATTTTAAGGAGTGTTTCTTTTACAGAATTGAAAATGCAGTGTTCTCAAATGTTTAAGACATTCTGCTTTGTATATTCAAACTATGCTAAAGTCATACCTTTTAGGGTAATATTTTTAATTATTCTGGGGAAGAAAAGAAAGCCCCTGAAGGCTAACAGTTTGAAATTGAACAGGACACCGCTGGGAAGGGAGAGGGTCAGGGGTCGTCGTCAAACAGACAAAAAAACAATGGAGACGATTGTGCCTAAAGATGGTGTATTTTTTTTCCACGAGACAGTGTGTTGACAGTTTCCTTCCTCTTGGGTCATTGTTGTCTGCTAAATGATCTGTGACAGCAAATTGATCACAAGCTTTTTCATGCAGGAGATATAATGCAGCCTTTCATTTTGTTACCTCTTGCCAAATGCCGAAACATTTCGTTGGCAAAATTAATGTTAGTTTAATATGTCATTTAGTGGTGTAAAGCACCGCATGTAGCTCTGGAAACAATAATAGTAGTGATTAATTTATCTTCATCCAGTTTCAGATTTCTACTTAAGTGTGATTGCAAAAACAATAACACATCTGAAAAAATGTTACTCTTAAAATTAGGCATCTGTAATTATCATTTAAATAAATGACGCATTCAAGAATTTAGATATTGTCCCATTCATTTCCAAATTGAGTTCAATATTTAAGGTACCTACAATTCACCTATAAAAATTAATGCTGGTGTACTCATTCTAACTGAAAAGTTGCTGCTTCCTCCAAAGAGCTAGGAACTTCAAATGGAAACCAGACATAAGGTCTTTTATGTCTGATGTTTCAGCATCTACTTAAGCTAGCTCATTGGTGATTTCACATGTCTGAAAAACAGCCCAACTAAATATTTTGTTTGTAGAGCATTGAGAATCTCTGCAATTAAATTGTTTGTAGGAAAAAAATTAGAAATGCAGTTATTTAAGTGACTTTCGCAGATCCTGTTCAATATTTTATTACAATCTTTGCTCTCCCATTAGGATAGAGTAATATTAGCACAAGGAAGGGTAAGTGTAGGCAGGATTGTTAAAAGAGTTGGTTTTTTCCCCCTCTATGAAAATGGCCAGATTCTGTGTGAAAATTAAACTGGTCTCAATTCTGGTGTTTTACTTCTCCTCATAATAAAAAGGAAATAAAAGTGATTTTACTGAAATTTGGCATAGATATTTAAGAAAACTGTTTATTGTAGAAAGAAAAGTGCAAATATGATGCTTTTATTAAAATCCTTTTTTAATGTTAGTCATGAAAGGCAGACAGATATCTTAAAATTGTATTTTTCTTTTTATAATATACACATGGGTGTATATTTTTTACATTTATTTTGAAATATGTTTTGGAGAGTTTTTCTTTTTTGTGATTTGTATGTGTTAGTGGAGAAATTAATAGATCATTTGTTAGAAATGGCAAATCAGTTTAATGTCTTATAGCAGGATAATGTTATCTGAAACAATCTACTCTGATAAAATAATTTTAAAAAGGAAACTTGCCAATACTCATTATCTGATTTCAATGTATATTTTCAGATCAACTAAAGCAATCTCATTTAATGATTACTACAAGACATGGTCCGGAATAGCAACATCAAAAGCCACAGAATACTATCGAAGTCCATGTAAGGTGGTCTAGCCTTATCTTATGTCCTTTTGTATATATTAATCTCCTAATTATTCTCAACTTGTCTTGCTTTCAAATACTAATTGACATATATTTATAATCAGAAGGTGATAAACTTCTCTGTTACCTCTATATACGAAACATTCAACAACTATTAATTTAGTTCCTCATTTGTATAGAGTCCTGGACTGAAGTCTCATTCAAAGTCAGAAAGAAAGATAGACAATTGGAGGAATAAAATATGACGTTCTCAATCTTATGAGACTTACTTTACTCCACTCCGAAACATGGAACCTTCATAGCAAGAGGAGCCTTTTTGATTCTAAACACAATTACCCTCAAAGCCAGAGAAAGTATTAAGTAGAAAGATAGCAAGAAAACATATGAACGTAGAGCTTTCAATTATATGTCTAAGGAAAATATTACATATATTAGGAGCTCAAAAGACGGAAGGGGAGAGCAGGACAACTTTCTGTCCCATCTAATTGAATCTTTAGTGTGCTATTTCATGATTTAGATCCAAGTAGGTTATCCAGTCTGCTGCCCTGCTATCCTGCTGAAATGGAGCATTCAGAAGTGACCCATGACTTCCTAACTCCCAGGTTCAATGATAACTTTTAGCCTTTATCTTGCTTGTACTCTTTTTTGCTATGCCTACCTGCCAGTAATTCCCAAAGCCTCCTCTCTGGTCAGGCCCTCTTCTGAATTCTGCATGCATATTTACAACTGTCCATTGGACATTCACCTACATGGGTTTCAGGCATCTCCTACTTAAGATGTCCCAAAGATAATTCATTATCTTGCCCCAAAACCTATCCTCCCACCATTATTACCTCCCTTGGCTAGTGCTAGATCACCATTATTGCATTTACTTGTCTAAACCAAAATCATAGACGCTTCTTAGAGCTCTTTACCTGCCAAATGAAGCCTTGTTTACTTTATCTCCTACAACATTAGGAGTGTTTCCTTCTCCACTCCACCCTGATGACCACTGCCTTAATCTGTGGTCTCACTGAATTTCATCTCATTATAGTGATCGTCTCATATTTGGTTTCAATAGAACAAAATATCACTAAAAAAGTTTGTAGTTTTAAGGCACAAATTAGAGCAAAAAGTAATGCCAAGCTTAACAAATATTTAAAAATAAATTAGATCAGTAACTTCCAAGAAATTACTTGTTCTTTCAGGATGTTGGGTATTATTTTTTGATCACCCATTACCTTCCTCACTAATCATAGATTAGTGGTTATGAAAAATTATTAAGGTGCTTAAAGAAACACAATCTTTGGCAACACTATCAGTATAAAGAATTTTATTACTTTTGATGCCAGAGTACATGAGTATTTATTTCATTTCATAGATTTTTGGTTGGGTGCTGCCTAGTCAACTCGGCAAACACATCTTGAGTACCTCCTATGTGGAAACACTGAGGAACTCAGATGGGCTCCAGGAGGCAGGAACCCTTAACAAACAAGGCGTCCAGAGGCAGTTGGCACAATCTAGGGAAAGATTCAGCATCCAACTCCTTCAACCACAAAACAAACCAAGAAAATGGTGTCTTATGGAATAACATGTAAATATATAGAAGCATTTGGAAACTTCAAACTGCTAAGAAAAAAAAAAAGCACATGCCAGAACTTCAGGGAATTTGAAAATGATTGTCTTGCAATAAAAAACAATTAAAAATGGAAGGAAATAATGAAGTACCACTGACTGCAGTTTCTTCTTCAAAAGAGTTAACACTAAAATGTTTAATTTGGTTCTCATTTCCATGGTTATCACTACTTAGTATGTAATTTATCCCCTTTTGCAAAGGCAATAGCTTTAGTGGCTGCCTCTAGCCCAGAAGAGTTTCTGAGACTGATTCTAGCCCTTGGTGCAAGATTTCACAATCACCCTGCCTGTTCTTCCCCTAGGGATTTGTTATAAGAATGTTTCAGGAGCTTTCCTTTAATAATAACCAGCACTTAATTTTTAAAAATTAAACTTAAACCTTACATGTGCTGCTGGCCATTTTGTCTTTGGATAATTCAGCTGGATGAGATCCAATACTATTTTTTAACAGCCTAATTTCCTGGCAATAATAAAGATGAAGTTTTGAGATTATAGAATGCTTCTTCAGCTCCTGAGAAATAAAAGGGAAACTTCTAGTAACTTCAGTTTCTACAGTTACATTCTTTTTTAAAAATTTATTTTATTTTTTTTTAGAGAGACGTAGGGGCAGTGGAGAGAGAGAATCTTAAGCAGTCTCCGCTCCCAGCTCAGAGTCCAACACGGGGCTCAATCTCACAGCCCTGAGATCATGACCTTAGCTGAAATCAAGAGTAGGACGCTTAACCAACTGAGCCGCCCAGGTGTCCCTCTACAGTTACATTCTTATCACTGCAAAGATTGTGAAACTCTTGTGCATATTTTTAAAAGCTTTTTTATTCATACTGATGAGTGGTTATATTTTGATTTGGGTTATTAACTCTTTTCCATATCTTTGTGCTACAAATCTACCCATAGTCATGTGTGCCATAGTAATAGTAAGTTTATTCATGTACAGTACAGTTTACAGAGTATACTCTGTATTGTTTTTTAATCATCCCCATCTTATTCTTTTATTCATTTGTCAACCAATGTTTACTGAATGCCTAATCTATGTCATGCATAGTAGTATATCAAGCCTATGAACCAGGCATTATTATTATTATTTCTCTGTCTTAGAGATGAGAAGACCAAGAGAAGCTAAGTAATTTACCTAAAGTCACACAGGTAGGAGGGGATATTATATATTGGTAAAGAGTATAAATTCTAGAGCCGGATTGCTGAGATTTAATTCTGGCTCTGCTACTTACTAGCTATGTGACCTTGGGTGAGTTTCTTAACCTCTCTGTGTCAGTTTCCTGTCTGTAAAATGAGAATAATTACAGCACATATCTCATAGCACTGAAGCACTTAAAATAGTGCCTAGCACATAGTGAGTGCTCAATGAAGGTGGCTGTTATTAATTAGTACAAGTAGGCTGTCGCTCTAGGACTTGACCCAGTTCCTCTGACTCCACATCTGTTGCTCTTTTTATCATGCTATACTGCCTCCATAGTGTGGTATAAAAATGCTATCTCTATGTAGCCTGAGATTTAAATTCAAACTCTGAAGCATATGCAGTATATTTTTCAATAATTATCATTATTAGTTTATAATCATAGGCAATCATATGGGGAAATGTACTGATGATCCACTGTTCTCTGTCCATCAGTATAGAATGGCAAATAAAAGTCTGGCAGAGAACAAACCAATACATATGGTTGTGGGCAACAGCACCTTAATGACAGAATATGATCCCCATAAGGAAATATTTATGTTAAAGGGAAGAGAATTCCTTCAGACCAGTGTAACCTGTAATACTGAGTGGAGGCTTCCTGGTGTTGGTTTGCTGTCATCAGACAGACCAGACACCCTGACACATCATGGGGATGCTTGCTTTCACCCTAAAAGACTTCTCTTCTTTGAGTCTTTGAGCTGGAAATAAGGGCAAGTGTCTCCAGAATGCATTTAGATGCAAGAGGCAGCATCACCTCATTCTAATGCAATGGTTCTCAGTCTTGACTGCTCATTAGAACCAGCAGAGGAACTTGTAAAAATTCCCGAGTAAAAGGCACACCCCCAGACTGACATCAGGATCTTTGGGGGCAGGGGCTGGCAGTAGTCAAGTTTTTAAAGGTCCCCAGGTGATTACAATGTGCAACCAAGGTTGGGAAGGCTGCAATGGGAAGAGCATGAGGTTGGAAGTTAAAGACTCCATAGCTCTGTACTGCTTTTGCCCCATACAGTTAAGTGAATTTAGGTTAGTCATTTAACTCTTTGTGCCTCATTTTTCATTTCTTTTCATTGACAGAAGCATTCCACTCTATTTTAAGTTGCTCTATGGTTAGTATGAGATAATATGTGTGAAAATAAAACATCCTAAGGCATGTTGATGCTATTATGTTTCTTGGGATGTGACAGTCCCAGCAGTGGAAGAAAAATTTAGATCAACCTATACAGATGTTGGACAAGAGATGTTCCATGGAAAAAACAAAGTAAAAGTAATGTACAGTAATCCTTAGAAGGAAGGGAAGAAATAAGTGTATTATGGAGCCAACAGAAGATGATTTTTTACCACAGACTACAAAACTGCCACAAAGATGAGATATGGTCATGATGGGAAATTTCAGCTTCAAAAACTTCTGACAAAATTTCACTGGTCCTTTCCTCCTACTTGCTCTCGCGTGCCCCCTCCCCCTGCATTATTCCCCTCCTGTCACCGTCCCTCATTGAGCATCTTCCATATGTAGACAATGGGCTGTGTGTTAGAGACAACATACATATTATGCTAAGCTTTTTAAGAAGTTTATGGTCAGATGGTAGAATGGTGAATGAAAAAATTATAGGGATAAAATAGGAAGCATTAAAATAAAAGTTTGTACAAATACTGTGGCATTTTTTCTCTCTCAGAGAAAGCAATGAAGAAGATGAGTCAATGATATAAAATTAATGGAAATATCCAGGAAGGATGACCATGCCATTTGGGGTTTCATAACATATAAGGAAGAAACTAATGTACATATTCAAATAGAAAATGTAGGAAAGGTGATTTCAAAATTAAGGAAATACATGAATTATCCTTGAAACCTCAAATTTAAATTTCGTCTAAGTGGTAATGAATAGTCCCAATGAGAAGACATTACTCAATTTTCTGTGTGTTCATCTGTAAAGTGTATATTGTAATGGTAACCACTGCTTACCTACTTTACAGGTGTCCAATGTATAGGAAGAACTCTATTATTAGTTACTGTAATCATCTAAATGAAATAATGAGACCTAAGAACCCTAGGGAGCTCAGATTTGCTTCCTTAATAAGGAATGGAGTAGCATAAGTCTAAATACTAACAAAAAGAATATTAATAAAGGCTATAAGAATATGTATGTAGAGGTGCCTGGGTAGCCCAGTTGGTTAAGTGTCTGCCTTCAGCTCAGGTCATAATCGCAGGGTCCTAGGATTGAGCTCCATCCAGGGCTCCCTGCTCAGTGGGGAGTTTGCTTTTCTCTCTCCCTCTGCTCCTCCCCTCACTTGTGCTCTCTCAAATAAAATAAATAAAATCTTAAAAAAAAAAAGGAGTGTGTGTATGTGTTTTTGTATTTGAAGGAAGAAAAAAAAGACAGGAACATTGCTGGTGAAAATTATGTAATATTAATAGAAGAAAATGAAAACTATTCAGTTTAAATGTTTCTATTAATGACATATTTCATCAGGCTAGCAGAGGTTAATCAATCATTGTTTAGAGGGAAGCTCCAGATAAAGGTAAGTCTGGTGGAGAGCATCTAGTTGGTTAAATTGTTCAAGACTATAAACCCAGGACAATTACAAGAAACAGGGAAATGATAGATAGCTAGATGATAGATAGATAGATAGATAGATAGATAGATAGATAGATAGATAGATAAGATGTGTGTGTGTGAGTGATCTGGCTTTCAATAAATTTTATGTTAATTTGATTGAAGGCATAAGGCTTATAATTAACCACAGACATATGTGCCAGTGGTATAATGTGATTTCCAGAAAATCCTACTACAGATCTGAGATGAATTGATAGAAGTGTACCACACAGGTCAAGGGAGGTAGTAACCCACTTACCCCTTTGCTATTCCAAAGAAATCAAGATCCTGAGCCAGTTCTGGATGTGAACTTTAATAGGAACATTAACAAAGTTTACCACTAGGATGGTGAGGATGGTTAGGTCTCTAGAAGCCATGTCTTAAGATGAAGTTGAGGGAACTGAGGCTGTTCTGAGAGCTATCTTCAAATATTAGAAGGGCTCTCTCCCATGGGGAAAGGATGAATCTAGTTAGTATTGCTCCAGAGGTCAGAACTAGAACCAGTGGAAACGCAGCACTCAGATTAAGAAAGACATTGTGACCTTACTCTCTGGCAATGGAACAGGCAGTTTCCCAAGAACAGAGAGGGGAGTTTTCTGTCATTGGCAAAGGATTCGTTCAGAGGCTGGATTGGGTGATCATCCGTTGACAATTCTTGCTTTGTGGAAGATCAAGACCTATAATGTCACTTCCAACTCCAAGATTTTATTTTTTCACTTGTAGTGAGTGTGGTGTTAAACTGTGGTGTCTGTAGTTTCTATATGAGTTATTTTAACACCTTCTTCGTTACTATAAATGATATATAAACAAATGTTATTATAATGAAAACTTTGAAGATAAATCCACTTGTTTCAAAGTTCAAGTAAAAGGAAGAAATTCGTAAACTGAGCATTGTAGTATGACTTGAACTATATAGTGTACATCATTGCCATATATCGACTTGATGAAAAGTAAATTATTTTAAACTTTGAACTATTATTAAAGAATGCATACACAGCTCCCTTTTCAAAACTCTAATTTCAGTGCTTGAAGATCCAAATTTTGTTGTAGAGTATTATAAATGGAAGAAAGCTGAATTACAGCATCCTAAAGAATGGAATTTAAAGTAAGTACTTTGTCTTAACTTAAATAGCTATCATTTTACTTTCTACTGTCTAACTGAGTCATCAGAAGAAATCTTTGGAAATAACAATGGATGCCTTTTTCTAAACATAACAAGAATTAGACATCATTTTTTTCCTTTCCTGTGAACCCAGGTGGGAAACATCTTTGCTACTATTAACCTTAGAAATGTAAATTATTTGACCAACAAAAATGGGTTTATTCAGGAATAGCAGGGAATAGCAATTTGGGATTTGCAAGCTAGGTCAAAACCACAGGGCAAGTCCAAGAAATTAGGAAGAGGAATGTCACTTTATAGAAGAAGTTGGGAAGAGTTGTTTTGAAAGGAAGTCCATGGGAGAAAACCAAGTGTTCAGAATCATGCCCGTTTGTCATTGGCTGAGTTGCTGGAGTAGTCAGTTTCTTACAGGAGATGCAATGTACATCTTTCCCTATTTGTAACTGAGGGTTTTGAGGATTCTTCTCTGTTGATGATTGCTCTGTAATGGACAGTTCTTGTAATTGATGTTGGGTAGTAGGGCTCTACCTTCTGGCCCCCCAACTCCATTTTAGTGAGGGTTCCCTTTATTAATTTTCACCTATTGACTGCCAAAAATAAAGATGGACATGAGGCACAGTGAAGGACTCTCACAATACTCTCTGCATTAATTCTCTTATGCCCATTCCTATTATCCTTATCAACATATGACTTAGAACTAGGAAAGTGGCACCTTGGTGACTCAGTCGGTTAAGCTGTCGACTCTTGATTTCGGTTCCAGTCATGATCTCAGGGTTGTGGGATGGAGCCCCACTTGGGGCTCCGGGCCCAGTGGGGAGTTTGCTTGAGATTCTCTCTCTCCCTGTGCTCCCCTTCCCCCACTTGTGCACATGTGCACTCTCTTTCTCTCTCTCTTAAACTCTTTTAAAAAATTGGAAAAAAACAAAACAGAACCCTGTTTATATATCACCAGTTAGCTTTTCATCCTTCTCATAGTTCCAAATATCTCTTCCTCTTCCACAGATTTTTCATCCAGGAACCAAATTATTTCATCTAACGAGGAAGTATATAGTAAAATATGAAATTAAACTATTACAGTATCTCCAGAAATCATTGACTATTAGACTACGTTAAAGGGATCTTAATCTCATCTTTGGTCACTTGAGTCTTAAAGGCAGTTTTTCTTTTTCATCATACTAGAGCAAAGCCCTGTGATGTTGGCTAGGCTATAGTACTTACTTATTCTAGTACACTTATTTCAAACTACTCGGTAAATATTCTACACAACACAAGGGGAATTAAAGATCCCTCCTCTTTTTTTGGCATTTACCTCATTTACCTTAGTTTTTAGCTCTTTAGCTTGCTAACAAATGGAAATACAGGATTAATAAAAATAATGTGCTGTATTTTGAATTTGTGTAGAAATTGAAGTTCTTAAAAAAACATACTTTCCTGTCCTTTAACATCATAATTCAGATTGGGTTTTTCGGTTGGATATTCTTTTTTCAGTTGACGTCTGTGACAACTTCCCTTCAAGCCAAAGTGGAGAAAAGCTTTTGCATTCGATCCTTTTCTGCTTTCAGAATAAATTATAGGCAATAGAAAGGTTTTTTAAAGCAGAATTTGAAGGAGTACAGACATGTTTTTTTCTTGAAGCCATGTTTCAAGTTTCGTTTAGAGTTAAAGAAAGCTACTTAGAATATAAGGTTAATTTTGCTTTGACATGACTTCCTTTTTTATTTCCTTTAACAGAACTGCTTTGTTTTATTTATTTGATCATCAATTCATGATTACATCATCAATACATACATTCATTATGTAATGCCAGCATCCCACAGAACCCCAAGTTTAGAAATAGTAGGGCCCTGTCATTTTCAACTTATCCATACACTTCTACATATGGCTGAAATAATTGTGAGCTGTTTGAGTGCGAGAACACTTTTCCAAATACATTATTTTGAAGTTACAGGTCAAATTATCATGTGCATGGTTGACTTGTCAGAATAAAACTCTCACACCTTATGCCATCTGGTGGTTGATGAGAATATATTTAGATCAAATGATAGTTTTTTTTAAATTTTGGAGTTGATTATTTTAAAAACACTAAAGTTTTTGGAAGATATTACATTTAGCTGAATAATTTTATTGTGGCATAAATATGCAACAATATGTTGCAAAAATCTAAAGTGTGATGAATCCGCTTCTTTTTCAAATAATTATTAGAAGTCTCATGTTCTGTCAAAATACAATATAATAAAGTGGTCAATTCCTAGAGACTCAAGTAGAAAATGTTTGGGCATCTTTGCAAGTGAGTGATTGGTCTATATATGCATGCAATATAATACCATTATGCATTTCTCTGTTTTAATATTGAAAATGCTTTTTTTGCACTGAAATTTCCTGTTTAAAAAAAAAAGCCAGAAAATGCAAATTAACAGCCTTTCATCTGCATAGCATTAAGGAAAAAGACCTATCTTTCCTGCTTCATATTCCTCCTCCTACTGTCCTCCCATCTCCTCATCAATCAAGACTCGATTCTTAAGCCACACTAAAGTTCTTTTATCTCACTATTATTTCGGGACATAAGATCTCTTCACCACTTTGTGCCTTTGGCCTGGGATATCTTTCCCAGCAGGGTCTTTGCTGGTGGTCTAGAGTTAGGCTTTGGTCTGAATGAAAAGGTGGAATGTGGAGTCCTTAAGCACAGGGACATGGGAGCCAGACTATCTGAATTTCAGTCCTGGCTCTGCCAGTTACCAACGCCTTGATAGGGCAAGGGCAAGTTATCAGATTTCTTTGTGCCTCAGTTTCCATATCTGTTAAGTGGCAGTGATAACTGTACCCACCCCTCAAGGAGATTGGGAGGATTAATAAATTAATACATGTAAACTTCTTCAAACAGTGTCTGTTTTTGTTCACTATTGTTCATGCTTTTCCTACTGTGGCCCTAGTTCCATTTTCAGACAGAACACCTTTCTTTGGAGGTAGCATGGGGGGAAAAAGCATGGGCCGTAGGGCCAGACGGATCTTAGAGAAATTCTTACCCACTTTCAGCTTGTTTCCTTATCTGTTAAAGAGAGATAACATGACTTACCTTGCAAAGTTGTTTTGCATTTGCTCTCTTGAGATCATAGATATATAGTCATATAGTGTTGACTTACAGACATTCAATAAATATCAGTTCCTGAGGAGAGGAGGAGGCAAAACCCCACACCCCCCAACTTTTCAGAGAATAAATATATTCTCTGTCAGAAACAGGTTAAAATTGTAACATTTTCTCCAGTTAGAACACAGGCATGGCCACCTATCATGACCACATTTATTTTAATTCCAGCATACACGTGGTTCTTTTCCCTTTTCCGCCGCTGTGCTCTCTCTCCTGCCTGGCAAAGCGCATCACAAGGATGATGGGAAAATCCAGCCCAACATCTCTTTGTGAAAGGAGAACCCTGAGTCAGGCTTCCACGTCCCCCCATGCTCTCCTTCCATAGCACTCTGTCCCTGTCTCTTTCAGCACCTGCGGTGGAGAAATTCATCAGTTTATGGAGAGTGACCAGGGCAAGGCCATTATTGTGGCTTTCTATTCTCAGCACTTAGCACGGTACCCGGCACCTAGCACGCACTCAGTCGTGTTTGTTGAATGGTACATACTTACCCTGTTGCCCCACTTAATAGGTGAATTAAATGCGAAGGCAGTTAACTTCTAGAAAAATTAAATGTAGACACTGACTTGTATTAAGGCCAGTTCTAATAGAAAGATAATGGTTCTATTTGGGGAATTCTAAGGGTGTAGTTGTAGAAGAGTGATTGAAAACTGGAAATATAAATGACTTATGAATATTTTATGCAAATTCTTAAGTTGTACACATGTTTTTAGTTAGTATTAATAGGATCCCATTGTCATTATAAGCAGCTCATAAATATTCATGAATCGATCATTTGGTTTGGTCATTTGATCATTTCTAAGGCCTTTTTTCCTCCCCTGTTGCCTTGCCTGTCTCTTGACTATTCATGTAAATGCTTTATTTCTACTAAGACATGGGAAAGAATATGAATCTAGAGACTAATCAGTAGTTTGTATTTATTTCCTCTGGAGAAAGAATGCAAGATTCAAAACCAGAAGGCAGTGCAAGCTGTTCCTTAAATATTCTTCCTTATGCACATGTAAAACTGTTTATGTCATACTCTGTGGCTAATGAATGCTTATGTGGTAATGGAAATACCTGTGCCAGTAGCCTAAGCTTTGTCAGACAGCAAGTTATCTAAATAAAAGTTATCAGTTCTGGAGTTTTACATTCTTTGCGGCTTCAGAGGAGAGTATTGCTCTTGTCCATACATCGGAGGTGCAGAAGGAACAGGAACCAGGTATTCTTTCATTTCCTAATGGAATACCGGCCATGCTGTGGAGTTGACACCTACACGCCTACACTCTAAGTGTAACCCCACAGTAGTACCCATCGGCCTCCTGCAAAGCCGTAGCAAGTCAACTCGCAGGCTGAGTCAAACCACATCCTTGTTATACACAGACACAGCTTCAAGACTAAATCCCTAACCTCCCTCTTCATCTGGGTTGTCACCCCTAAGTTTCTCCACAGAAAGTCTGGAAAAGTTGATGTAGATAGTATCTACAGTTTACTAATGAGAGAAACATGAGATTAACCAACTTGCCCAAAGTTACTGATAAACACATTTTGTATTTGAAAACTAAAACTAAATTATTTCCTACTTTCCTATTAATATATGTTTATTAAAAGCTTAAATTTTTCAGGTAATGTGAAAATATGGTCTACCCAACTGCAAGCACAGATCAAGTCTACCTTTTGTGGAAAAGGTTTTTTTCGTCAATCTCAAATTCTATTATTAAACAATGTTCCTTTCTCTTTCATAAAAATACTCCTATATTTATAAAATATACTATGGACATAGCTGTACTGTATTTTAAATTAAGGGGTTAATATATATTATTCCTAAGTTCCTGTATCTGATTTTGTAAGTGTTTTAACTCACAAAAATATGGGATTACTATGTTTGATTCCCTTTTCTCCAGTTATATAGAAAACATTTATGCTGACTACGTTAATGTATGTTTGTGCTGTCCTTTCAGGGCTTTTGAAGTTAAACATTATTTTTATAGATTTACATAATTATATATTTAATGCCTTTTTAAGGAGGAATGCTGGCTTTATTTTATTCCCCAAAGATTGAACTGTGAATGCCATCTTGTGGTTAAAGAGAGAATTAGCATTAGAATGGGCATTGGAAATGTCCCCTTTAAAAATAGACATGGAAAAAATATATAGACAAAGGAAAAAAATCCCTTTAAAAAAATAATTTCTGTCAAGCAACTACTTAGTCTCTGCTTGAATGATTTTAGAGACAGGGAGCTCAGTACTTCAAGGACCATTCAAATAGCTGGAATCTCCTGTATTTCTAGCTCAAATCTAATACCTTATGATACTCAACAATTCTAGATTTCTTTCATTCACTTAAGATTTTTATTGAGGACTTACTATATTTTTTATACATTTGTCTGCAAAACCATCCAGAAAATGAGAAATTATCTCCATTTTATAAAGAAGATGTACAGAAAAAGTTAAAAATTCCCTAAGATTGCACAGCCCAAAAGTGACCGAGCTGAAATTCAAATCCGGGCCTGCCAGATGCTACAACCCATGCTTTTATCTATTAGGTCCAGCACCAGCTCAGACACTGAGGACCCGGGGATGGCTTTGGATATGGGTAGTCGGCATGGTTCAAGCGGTGATACTGTGGCAGAAAAGAAAGTGTCTCCACTTGTCCTTGGAAGCAACACAAATAAGACTCTTCTTTTTTTTTAACTCTCAGAAAGTAGCTATTGTGTCTTTTTCCTACTTCCCCTTAAGTTTTCTCTTTTTTCAGAATAAACACACCCAGTTCTTTCAACTTTTTTTTTTAATGAATTCCACATTTTTTATTGTTCACCTTTTATGGGTTTAATTCATTTAATCAACTTTTCTCTCAGCATGTACTCCCAAAACTTTACCATGGATTTCTGGTTGTAGCACAGAATCTGGTGGGGCATTCTATATTATAAACACCATGACTTAAAGCTGCTTTCCCCTTCACCTCCCAAAAAGAGGGATTTTGATAGGAGTCAAAAACACATATTGGGCTTTTTTTTTTTTTTTTAAGAGAATTGTTCCTTTGGTTCTGTACCCACATAGAACACTCTTGTGAGGGGTGTCTCTGTCTCCCTTTCCCTCCCTACCTTCCTCTCCCCCTCAGCACCCTACCCTATCCCACCCCACCCCCAACTGTGTCCATAGAAATATGATACTTAGATTAGCTTGGGCCTTGGTCTGAGCAGGGGTGAAATTGAGGAGGGCTGTGGTTTCCTAGAGGCCTATTAGATTGTGTTCCACCTGAAGGGAGAAACAGGAAGGAAGCCAAGAAGTTCCCTTAGAACATGTTACAAAAAGTCAGATCACTAGATGGAAGGGATACAGTAAGTTTTATGACCCTCGTTATGTACATAAAGCTACTTTCCAAGAACAGGTAGCAACTTACAGTGCTAACAAAATTATTAAGAATTTAAGATGAACAAGTATTTGGGTTTCTAGTTTTATTTTTTAACTTAATAATTATGACATCTTCCTTTATAGTCATTTAATTTGTATTTCTTTAGTGACACTAAATTTTTTTTTAAAGATTTTATTTATTTGTTTGAGAGAGAGAGATAGCAAGAGCAGGAACACAAGCAGGGGGAGTGGGAGAGGGAGAAGCAGGCTTCCCACAGAGCAGGGAGCCCGATGTGGGGCTCGATCCCAGGACCCTGGGATCATGACCTGAGCCGAAGGCAGATGCTTAACGACTGAGCCACCCAGGTGCCCTACGCTAAACTTTTTTATCATTTATGTTTTCAATTATATAAAGGCAAATGGTTGAAAAAAAAAAGAAAATATTAATACTTCTATAGTTTTTTGAAGACAATTTATCAATAAGGGATAAAATGTATAAATCAAGTTATTTTTTTGTTTTTTAGGGGGGGTGGGAGGACTAGACAGGGAGAGAGAGAATCTTTTGATCAGGCTCCATGCCGAGCACGAAGCCCAATGCAGGGCTCAATCTCACAACCCTGAGATCAGGACCTGGGCCAAAATCAGGAGTCGGACACTTAACTGACTGAGCCACCCAGGCAACCCAGTTACGTTATTTTCCAAAATCATATTTGTCCTGAGGAAAATAATATTCCAATTTTTTGTTTTTGTTTTTTGTGTTTGTTTATTTGTTTTGGTACCCACACAATGGTTGCAGAGGGCTAGAAATAGTGTGTGTTCTTGCTAGAGTGCTAGACCTCTTAATTCAAGGGGACATTGAAGAAAGACTTCAGAAGGGTCATGCCTTAGGGCTATATTAGCCCCCTAGTAAAAGCTGTTCTAGACCCATAAGAAAGTTTAAATACAATCCTTGAATATATCAAACTGACTTGTAAGATACTGAACTGCATGCTGGAACAATGAACAACCATATTTAAAAGAATATATAAAATTCCCCAGCAAAGTAAAATTTACAACGTCCAGAATCCCAGCCATGCAAATAAGCAGGAAAATATAATCCATAACCAAAATAAAAATCTATCAATATTTATAAATAGATCCTCAAATGATAGAGATGATGGAATTAGTAGATATGGATTTTAAAGCAGCTATTATTCATCTTATAAAATGTACTCAAGGATTATAAAATGTAATCAAAAACACAAGAAACAAGTGTTGACAAGGATGGGGAGAAAAAGAGCCCCTCATTCACTATTGGTGGGAATGTAAAGTGGTGCAGCCACTGTGGAATAGAGTATGGAAGTTCTTAAAAAAATTAAAAATATAATTACCCTATGATCCAGTAAATATCCACTACTGGGTATTTACCCAAAGAATATAAAAACAGTAATTCAAAAAGATATGCATCAATATGTTTGCTGTAGCATTATTTACAATAACTAAACTATGGAAGCAGCCCAAGTGGCCATCCACTTATGAATGGATAAGGAAGAGGTGGTGTATATATATATATATATATATACACACACACACACACACACACACACACACATACATATACACACACACACATATATATACACACACACACATATATATACACACACATATACACAGTGGTATATCACTCAGCCATAAAAAAGAATGAAACCTTGCCATTTGAAACAACATGGATGGATCTAGAGAGTACAGGGGTAAGTGAAAGAAGTCAGTCAGAGAAAGACAAATCCCATATGATTTCAGTCATGTGGAATTTAAGAAACAAAACAAATGAACAAAGAAAAATAAAGAGACAAAAGAAACAGACTCTTAACTATAGAGAACAAACGGTGGTTCCCAGAGGGGAGGGGGGCGGTGGGGTATTCGGGGGATGGTGAAGAAGGTGAAGGGGATTAAGAGCACACTAATCACGAGGAGCACTGAGTCATGTATAGAATTGTTGAATCACTATATTGTACACCTGATACTAATATAACACTGTATATTAATTATACCTGAATTTAAAAACATAAAATAAAAAGAAACAAACAAAATAAAGTCAGCATTACCTCAATAACAAAACCAAAGACAGTACCAGAAAGAAAATAAAAACCCCATTACAGATAAATACACCTCATGTACATTGATGCAAATATTTTAGCTAATTGAATCCCACTGTATAATTATCATAAATAACATAAATATATAATTATATAATAAATAATTGTGATGATTGTACATGACCAAGTGGGGTTTATGTCAGGAATGTAACCTTGGTTTAATATTTGAAAAATTCGAACAATATAAAATAGAATAAGAAGAATCATATGATCATCTCAATAAGTGAAGAAAATTTCAACATCCGGTTCCTAATTAAAAAAAAAAAAATCAACCTCCAGAACTGTGAGAGAATAAACTTGTTATGGAAGCCCTAGGAAACAAACGCACCTTGCCTTACCAGTTGATGCTTTCATTACTTTTACAGTATTTATCTTACACCATACTTGTTTTTCTAATGACTGTTCTGCTAGGAAACATACTGGAATAATTTCCGTTAACCATTGCACTGGTGAACACTCAGAATAGCACCACAATCAAACCCCGCTGCTCTGCTTGTCTGTCTGATTTAATATGTTTGCCTTATCTTTCTCAAAAGTAATGTACACTTCCCAGAATTCACTTGGAAATTTAGATGACTTCTTTTTCTCATTCTAGGTATGCTGCTACCATGGCTCGGCTGGCTAGAGAAAGTAGAAGGCCTTCCAAAGTCAATTATCCAACTGAAAGATTTCATCGCTGCCCAACTCCAAGTACATTGAGTTCAGCCTATTTGTTTTGCTTTGTTTTTAGAACTAAAATATTAGTCATAATAATAAATGTAAATTTTTTTCAGTTCAGATAAATATAAATCTGTGAGACCTAATCTTGTGTTCTCCTTTTAAGGTTGCTTTAACTCTTTCTGACTAACCAAATAAATTCAGTAAATTATTTGCATAGGAATTGGAGCTTGGAAAAAAATTGAATTACCCTTTGAAGCTCACCACCTTTAATAGGTTAATGTACAATTTGAAAATCTAAGGCTAGGTTTCAAGGCATATAAAAGCATTCAAAACAAGAAAAACACCAAATAAACTGATCCCTTAAGATCACTGTAGATTCAGAGATATATGCAATATGGCTGAGAAGAAAGGAATAATGTTGGTTGAATTGTTTTTGATGATCTTTTTTAAAATTAATGTTTTTTAAAGAGATATTTGGGGGACGCTTGGGTGGCTCAGTCGCTTAAGTGTCTGCCTTTGGCTCAGGTCGTGATCCTGGGGTCCTGGGATCGAGCCCCACGTCAGGGGGAGCCTGCTTCTCCCTCTCCCTCTGCCATTCCCCCTGCTTGTGTTCCCTTGCTCTCACTCTCACTCTCAATAAATAAATATAATCTTAAAAAAAAAAGAAATACTTGGGATAAGTTGAGGGAGGTTGGTAACTTATAATAGAAATCAGCTAGTATAGAGGGGAAAGCAAGACATTTGGGGTCAGAGAACTTGGGTTTAGATACCAGGTCTGTGCAGTTATGAGAAAGGCATTTAACCTCTGAGTTTCAGTTTCTGCATCTTCAGCCAGTACTGAGTACATAGAAGATGATCAGTAAATACTTGTACCTAATATTCTGCCCTAACACACAGGATTCTTGTGACTAAGTGACTCCATGTATGTAAACATTTTTGTGAACAGGAAAGTCCTAGTTATCACATTTCGCTGACCCCTGTCCTTCAAACACAGGAGCATAGACATGCCAGGCAGAGGCAGCAGCCTTCATTCAGTGGTTTTCCAAGAGCCCTGTTTCCATTATCTCTGACTTGCATTTCCCCAGCTCAGATTCTACTTTTCTTCCTCCTTCCTGGTCTGGTGTACCACTTAGACTCCCTCATCTGAGTGACCAGGCTCAATCTTCTCTACTCCACTCTGCCGCCTTCTACATTTCAGGCTACCTGCAAGCCTTGGTGAGAAACGTTGCCTTTTCCAGCCAGACTCTGCTTCCTCCCTGAACTCTCTGCTCTCTGCAAACTCTGTCCTCCCCACACCCTCACATCTGTATGAGGGGAAGAGATCTTTTGGTTGAGGTGATGATTACAATAATTCCTGTTCATGCTTTGTCAGACTTCTTTCTACAGCTCACATCTGCTTATGTTTTTCTGAGTCTAAAATCCTTTGTTCTCCATTTTGTTCAGGATAAAATTTATACTCTTTGTCATGGCAAAGTCCTTAATGCTCTAATGTCTATCTGCCTTTTCAGTAACATCTCTTCCCACTCTCCCACTCATACCCTAAACAACACACTCACTCTCTCTCTCTCTCCCCCCCGAAATAAATAAATAAATCTTAAAAAAAAAAAAAAAAGAAATATTGGCTATCCTGTTCCACCTCCATAGGCAAAATATACTCCCTTGACCCTTGACTTTGAATTTTGCCATGTGACTTGTTTTGATCAGTGGACTATTGGTGGGTGTGGTATGCCTGGAGTTTGGGAACGGCTTGTGCAATTTGGCTCGCTCTTTTTCACTTCTGCCATCATCACAAGAGCATGCCTGGACTAGCCTTCTGGTCACAGAGGAAGATGAGAGCCACAGAGCTGGGCTTCCCCAGATAAGCTCCCCAGCCACCCCCAGCCCAGACAAGCCAATCTCTGGTGGACCTGCAGACATGTGATCTGGACAAATGCTCACCGCTGAGATGTTGTGGTTGCTTATTATGTCCAAATAGTGAGCTTATACAGCATATGAAAGGGAAGCGTGACTCGGTTGAAAAAGGAATGAACTCTGTGCTCCTCTTTTGTAGCGGGGGTTAGCATATCATAGTTTGCTAATGAGAAAAATACATCAGAGATTTAGGAGGTAGGAAGGAGGAAGAGGCCATTAATTCCTGAGAAATTGGCAGTTTCCTCAGACTGCAATTTCACGCAACTCTTCACAAACTCCCACTTTACAGATACGATGGATTCACAAATATCTCCATGAACTCTCAATTTTTGTCCCACTTTGGGTGGCTAGGTGTGTACAGCTCCTTGTACTGCCCCATGAACTCCTGGTTTTTCCACATCAGACTAAAGTAGGTAGTGACTGCTTTTCCAGTTCTCCAGCTGTAGCCTTCCAGACTTTCACTCCCCTACATCTCCCCACACCTGTGTAATCCCTATTTTCTATATTAAACTCCTCATTCTTGTATTAGCTATAGCGCCTCTGTTTTCCTAACTGAACCCAGACTCACACAGAAGTGAATGGATATAAACCATTTGGCAATAATCAGAGCTCACCAGTCAGAACAAATTTTAATACCTTTACCAATTAAATTATTAGATTTATCTAATAATTATCAGATTAAAAAATATATATATATATATGAGCTTCCAGAATCCATCCCCAGAAAGGCATACAAACTCTACGGCAATTAGTGTTTGTGCTTTCAGAAGTTATTTTGTTAACATAGTAACAGAGTTCCCACCTTTAGTATTGATTCCAACTAGTAAATCCAAGGTTTCTTGGAGGGATTTATAATACTTAAGATTTTCTGGAGGAAGGCAATTCAAAATCATATTTTTTCTGTGTCATAAGGAAATATTTTTATATTTGTTTTACATTATGCTCAGCTGCTCTAGCCAGAATTTCTTTTTATGCTTCTGAGGAGGTTTTTATGGTTTAGGGTTTTTTTTGTTTTTGGGGGGGGGTTTGTTTTTGTTTTTTGTTTGGTTTTTTTTTGGTTTTTGTTTGTTTGTTCTTGTTTTTAACCGAGCAGAAGCTAGAGGGCAAATGGTCAAAGTGATTGACTCTCAACATTCATTCCTGCCCAACAACTGGTGTCATCCCATCATGGTAATCCCATTTTCCTTGCCAGGAACTTGCTTAGGAGCAGCGTGTGACACAATTCTGCCTGAGAGGAAGTATGCTGAGGGTTTCAGAGGGTGGTTTTCCTACTCTTAAAAATGAGACTCTGGAGAGAAAGACCCCTTTTTACCCTCTGGATGTTGCCATGTCTGATGTGAGTACTGGAATGGCTACAGCTCTCTTGCTGTGAGTCTGAAGATGAAAACAACACCAAAGATGGGAAAGCAGATCAGTGGAAAGAACTGGTCCCTCATGATATTGTTGAGTCACTGGATCATTCAGTCCTGCCCTACCTCTGATTTTCCTCTTCTGTGAGATTAAGACATTTGCCTATTGTTTAAACAGGTTTGAATTGGGCTCTGAATCTCTCATACCCTAAAACATGTAAATTCAGAACAGTCTAAACCTGTTTAAAAAGGACTGGAGTTAGTCTATCAATGATGTGTTCATAGAAAATAAAGTAGGTTTTCTCAAGGGAAAGACAGAATTTACAGTTTAATGAAAGCTAGAGGTAAATATTAAAATACAAAACTAAAAACTCAATCATTGGAGACCTCAAGATTCTCCTAGGGTAAGGACAGCTGTCTAAACTCATAGCTCTCTACAAGTCTTTCTATAAAACAAAGAGACCAAGAAAACAATTTACTCATAACCCTTGTCCATAGCACAACTAGAAGGCAATGAATATTACAAGGTTTATTGGATATGTGATTGGGGAAATGAACATATGAGACAACAGAATTTGTCCTGGATCCCTTACTAGGCAATGAATTAGGTGGCAGCTGCAGCAAAACATAAATAGCATGACTGGGGTTACACATTCCTAAAAAACAAGTTCCCCATGCTGGGTAGAAATATTGAGCAATATAGATACTATATCTATATTCTTCCTTTAAATGTAATTAGTTTATTTCCCTATTTACAAGACCTATAGAAAAAGATGAATCTTTTTTGCATGATATAGGAAGCTTTCCTAATCTGGCCTCAGCCTAACTAGCCAGCCCCACCCAACTCTCCACTGTAACCCAGGGATTTGGGATCTGATGGACCTGGAATCAATTCTTATTAGCTGGGTGTCCTTGGACAAGTTACTGTAGGTCACCCAGTCTCAATTTCCTCATCTGTAAAATAAGGATAGTAATCCTACCTGTCACAAGGGTCGTATCTAAGTTAAATAATATTATCCACGTAGACTGCTTAGCACAGCAGTTGGCTCAGCATAAATGCTGATGTGTCAACTCTGATTACCTCCAAACCTGTCAAGTCCTCTTATACCTTTGTGCCTTGGTATGTGCTGTGTTCTCAGTCTAGAGTGCTCATACCTTCCTTCTTTGCCCTTCTCTGTTCAGCAAACTGCTCCTCCTCTGTCAAAATCCAAGCCTGTTTCCACTTATACAACAGTTCCACCCTTGTGCTGCTGAAGCACTCTCAGACACTGTTTCCCTTCCATGCCTACCGGTGCTTGGTGGGGACTCAGTAATTACATGTTAGATGAATGAACTAACAAAGCATAAAGAAGACTGACCAGAATGGAAGGAATGATATATGACAAAGTAATTGCAAAATGTAAAATTTAGAGAGTTTTAAAAGGTTGTTTGCATTCACTACCCGATCTTAGGCTCTATCCGAGAAATGCAGGAACACATCTCTTTTTATTGTGTTCCCTGCCATGTCTATTAATTTTTTTTATATTTCCTCTTATAGTTCAAAATTTTGCTGACTCACAGACTGAAATGGATATTGTCATGAAGACTGGTAGAACAAAGGAGAGGTGGAGGAGTGTAGCTTTACCAGATGATGATAATGCGAATGAGTCGTGGGAAGAAGAAGCAGAAGACCTGGTCGCCTGGACCAACACTCTTGATATAGACGTTTTAGAAGATTCAGCCTGATGCTCCAGGATTTAAAACCACAGCTCGGCTTCATGAGGCAACTTTGGAACTTGGATTCCATTTTTTTTTTGAAGTTGGCCTCATGCTCTCATGTCAAGTACACATTAGAAATATAAGTACAAATCAGTGAGTATGTTTCTTTGAATTTTTTGAGCCTCTACTTCATTGTTTGAAGCTAAGTTAACCAAATTAGTGGTATTCATTGTGGCATTTCAATCAATGGTATTACAGTTGTTAGGCTATAGGATGCAAGTTTTTGCAGGCAGGGGCAGGATAGGAGTCAGGTAGAGGCTGGGATAGGAGGGGAGCGCTCGGGAGCTTCAAAGCCTGGACATTAACCAAAGAGAGGGATCTTTACAGAGGTCTACATCTGCCTGGTTTAGTGTCATGTTTCCTCCATATTCAGGGGATGAGATGTCATCCATCCACCAATGTGCCTCTTCTGTTTTCTCCCAGAAAACATGTTCTGTTTCCTCTTGGACCTTATCCCCTCATATTCTCATATCTTTGTTTTCTTCCTCTCTTTTTGCTACATTGTCTCAACCTGAAAATGTACTCGGGTCTCTCCTATTTTAAAATACGTCTCCACCTTTGACCCTATATTTCTACTTCCCTCAGCACTATATTATTCAGGGGCACCTGGCTGGCTCAGTTGGTGGAGCATGGGACTCTTGATCTCAGGGTTGTAAGTTTGAGCCCCATGCTGGGTGTAGAGATTAAAAATAAAATCTTTAAAAAATAAAAGCAAACACTATATTATATTTTCTCAGTTATGTTTATTGATAACAGTCTATCATTTGCCATCTTTATTTCTTAGGGTCACTTCCCATTTGCATTCCACTGCACAATAAAATCTGTCTTCTGCTTATATTACTTGATTAAAATTCACTAGGATCACCGAAGTCTTCCATATTGCCAAAATACAATAGCTACCTTATCTTACTGGCCCTGTAGGCTATATTCGATATTATTGATCACTTCTGTCTCTCATTTTTAATGTTTATTGCCTCACCTTTAAAGAGGCTTATTTTGAGGCCACCTACCTATACACACATCTCTTCCTGCAAACACCATAAATATGTATACTTATAAATATGTTAGCTATATAGAGACATAGATAGATGCCTGACCTTGGATCTAGTTGTTAAATAGGTCTCTCCCTCATTTCTAAAGAACCTGATTTTACTTCGTATGAAAAAAGAAAAAGTTGTTATATGTACTCTAGTGTCTGGACACTTCCCTGGCTAGCTAGATGTTTTCAAGTCTGCCTGTGGTAGTTCAGACAATAAGGCCCCAAGTGATCGTAGTGCCTAACACTTTTATTACCCTCCACAACCAGAACCACAAAATTCTAGCAGCTATCCCAGATTTTCCCTCCTTTTGTCAATGCCAAAATACAGAGAAGAGCCAACTTCATGATCCCGCCCAACTTGATAACAATCAGAGTTATTTTTATACCAATAAAAAGTACCATTGTGAATGGCCCATTCAATACCTCAATGAAATTATAGAATGTGGTCAAAAGAGGCATTTTACTGATGGTCACACTGTTGGAGGCTGGGCCTCTGACTCTTCTCTTGTGGTTTTCTAGGAGGACAAACATGTAGATTGTCAACAGATATACAGCAGTCACCAAGAAATTAAACCCAAAAGGACCATGACAGTCAACCAAAAATATGTCCTTGATATCAGCTGTCATATATTGTACTTTATTCTTTTCATTTAATCTCTTTCTTCAAAGAAGTTACATTTGTTGCTTTATTTTCTTGCAACCAGAAGACCTGGGGGTAAAAGTGGGTGATGGGGGAAGGATGGGTAGGGAACACATTTTTGGAATAGAGACATTAATCAGTAGAACAGGATAGTTTATTTAATTACCTTCACTATAACTCTGGCCATTCGTTCTGGGTCTCAGATAGGAATTTCCCTTCCACCTCTGGCCCTTGGTGAAAGATTCTTTTGGGTTCCAGCCCAATGATCTTCTCTACACATTTTTCTTGAAAAATGTTGCCACTGTCAGAGTTTTACCTCCCACACATATTGTCATTCCCTGACCTTTTTTCCACCTGCCTTAAAAGGCATCTTCACTTCAACATCCCCCATGCATCTGAAACTCAACATGCCTGGTTTAAACTCATTTCTCTTCCTCCACCTTCTGCCTCTCGTGTTTATTTTTCAGTTAATGGAACAATCACAAGATAAAAACTTGGGGATCACTATAGACTTCTCTTTTTCACTTATGGTCAATCGATCACCAAGACTTGTAATATTATCTTTTAGATGTCTCAAATCCATCTTCTCATTCCTGTTCTTACCATTACTTTATATTATGAAGCCCTTTTTAATAAATAGGTGGGATTATACTTTTCTTTAAGGACATCATTCACTTTCCTAAAATTCTTCAGAGAATCTCCTCTTATTAGAGAATGTCCAGATCACCACCCTCTCCAACCTCATCCACCACAACTTCCCACATTGTGCCTAATGTTACCAAAGTCCATATGCCTCTCCACATGTAACATGCTCTCTTCTGCCTTTGCTTATGCCACTTTCTCTATCTGGAATGCCTTTTCTTCCCTTCTTCACTTGACTAACTCCTATTCATCTCCTAAAGCGTAATTCATCATTTACATAAAATCTTCTCTGCATGCCTCAGACCCACCCCAGGCTGGGCTAAGTCTCAGTCTGTCTCTCTCTATTCCTCTGTCTGCATATGTGTATGTATGTGTGCAGCTATGTTATATTGAAATTTTGTTTGTGTAATCCAATCAGACTCAGAGATATTTCATAATGTAGGACCCACATACCAACAGTTGCCACAAATTCTCCACCTCATACAAAAGCTCCTGTTTCACTGTCATAGAATCTGCTGTTAAAAAATAAACTTGGAAAATTTAGCAAATTGGTGAATTTGAAAGTGACAAAAAGGGAAGCTTTTATTAATAAGCAGGAATATCTTGAAAGAATTGATTCTGGAAAAAGATGCTAGATTTTTTATAACAGCTTTAGTAAGGTATGATTGACATACAATAAATTAAACTATTTAAAGTGTCCAATTTGATAAATTCTGACACTCATGTAATCATCACTACTCTTAAGATTGTGAACCCATCTGTCACCCCCCGCAAAGTTTCCCCATACCTCTTTGTAATACCTCTCTCCTGCCCGGGCACTTCCTGCCTTCGCCTCTCATTTCCAGGCAATCACTGATATGCTTTCTGTCATTATAGATTATTGTGAATTTTCTACATTTTTATGTAAATAGAATCATACTGTAAATACTTGTTTTTGCCTAGCTTCTTTTACTCAGCATTATTTTGAGATTGATTCATGCTTTGTATATGTCATTCTCTTATTTTTATTGTCATGTAGTATTTCACTGTATAGATTATAGATATGCCACAATTTATCCTTTCCCCTGTTGATGGGCATTTGAGTTGTTTCCAACTTGAGACTATTATAAATATAAAAGCTGGTGTGGTAGATCTACCTGCAGATTACCAACAGTGAGTCATGCCCTTGTATGATCCCCTCCCCATGAGTGTGAATAAAACCTATGACTTATTTCTAGCCAATAGCATATGACAAAGGTGATTGGATAGTCATTGCTGTCATTATGTTACATTACCTAAGACTCCATCTTAGCAGACAGAGTTTCTTCTGCTGGCTTTGAGGACATAAGCTGTCATATTATAAAAAAAGGGCTGCATGGCCAGGGACTGCCTGCAACCTCTAGGAGCTGAGAGTAGCTCCTGGGTGGCAGCCAGCAAAAAAATAGGGACCTTGGCCCTCCAACTGCAAGAAATTGAATCTTTCAATAACTGTGTGAGTTTGGAAAAGACCTGACCCCCAAGCAGGAATGCAGCATGGCTAACACCTTGATTTCAGCTTTGTGAGATCCTGAGCACCCAGCTAGGCCATGCCTGGACTACGAAATAACAAATGTGTGTTGTTTTTAAGCTGTTAAATTTATGGGAATTTATTATGCAACAATAGAAGATTAAGCTAGATGATACGAACATTCGTGTAAATGGCTCGATCACACGGTACATAAGTTTTTAAGAGATTGCCAAACTATTTTCCAAAGGAAATTTACAATTTTACATTCCCACCAGCAATGCATGAGAATTCCAGTTCCTTCACATTTTGGCCAACACTCGGTATGATCAGTCTTTTAAGTGTTAGTCATTCTAAAGGATGTGAAGTGGCATCCTATTTTAATTTGCATTTCCCTAAAGCCTGTGATGATGAGCATCTTATCATGTACCTATTTGTCATCCTTCTATCTTTTCTGATGAAATATCTATTGAAAGCTTTTGTCCATTTGTTACTGTCCATTGGTTGTTTTTGTATTACTAAGTTTTGAGAGTTCTTTCTGTATTCTGGATACAAATCCTTTATCAGATAAATGATTTACAGAGAGAAAATTTGCAAACTAGTGACTAGTCTGCCACTTGTCTTTTCATTGTCTTAACAGTTCTTTCAAAGAATAGAAGTTTTTAATTTTGATAAAATCCAACTTACCGATTTTTTTTCTTGTATAGTTTGTTTTTGATGTTGTATCTAAGAAATTCTTGCCTAATCCAAGATTACAAAGATTTTCTTTTATTCTTTCTTGTAGAAATTTTATAATTTTATACTATCTATTTAGGTCTATGATCCATTTTGAGTTAATGTTTGTATGTGGTAAAAGGAATGAATCAAAGTTTGTATGTGTTTCTCTCTCTCCCCCCTTCCTTCCTTCTTTCCTCTCTCTTTTCTTTCCTTCCTCCATCCTCCTCTCTTTTTCCTCCATCCATTCCTCCCTTTCTTGCTCCCTCCCTTCCTGCATTCATATCTTCCCATATGGATATTCAGTTGTCCCAGCAACATTTGTTGAGACTATCCTTCCTCCAGTGAATTATCTTAGCACCTTTGTCAAAAATCAGTTATCCAAGGGCGCCTGGGTGGCTCAGTCGGTTAAGTGTCTGCCTTCAGCTCAGGTCATGATCCCATGGTCC